AAGCCCCTTTCCAGCTAATACATTGAAGGAAAAGACAGAAGAGTCTTGCAATCCCTTTACAGATTAACACATATTTTACTAGATAATCACCTTTTGCGGATTTCATCAGAGCCTAAGTTAATGTAAAAGATATTAAGTGTTTTGTCAGGAGGAAAGAGGACCAGGGAGCAAGTAAGCAATAAATGTGTAATCACGAGTGCTGGCGCTCTATATTTGCATTTAAACTGATCTTTTCAAATTAATCGTTTAAAAGGTAGTGCAAGGATTAGTCTAGACGCTAAAATACAGCGAGTCCCTGCTCAAATAGGCCCGCTGAAGTATTTCAACATACCGGCAGGTGTGGGCAATTAATTGTAAACTTAACATTATTTGCGAGCGAATCCACGATCTATAATTCCAAAACCGTCCATCTTTTCTCACCAGCCCGAGCAAGAGGGCTGATTTTCCAGCACCGGAATGACCGGCGAGAAAGGACATTTGTGAAGCCAAGTGAAAAAGTCTTGAGCCATTTTAGCTAAAGGACGCCAAGCGATTTTTAGTCTGAAGTCTACGCTATCGCCGAAGTCCGGGTGGCCAGATAAAAGGGCCAGCTTTAGCACAGGTTGTGACCGAGAAACACAGACACCCACACTTACACCCAGAGCGAGGTTAGTTGTTTCCTCCGCAGAGTTAAGAGAAAAACAGATTCGTTACCATCCTCGCCCTTGTCTCCAGCCCAGAGCCCCCCTGTGCCACCCGGATCCAGGGCAGAGGCCGAAATATTAAAAGTCGCCCTGCCCTCCTCCGTGTGCGCGCACACTTCCAAACCTATTGCGCGACACCTGCTCCGGCGGCGCCCTTTCTTGGCTACTTTGCCGCTTTGATCCGCGCCCCGAATAAACCCCTTCCTTGGAAAGCAGAACCGGCTCCCTCCCAAGAGAAGCCGGAGCTGCTGCTGCTGCTGCTGCTGCTTCTCACGCAGCCCCGGGACCTCGTTCCAGCCTTTCAGGGGGGCAGCGCGTTTTTCGGACCGTTTGAAAGAGCCTCCCCCCGCCTCGGGCAATTAGTGCTCCCCAGATCTTCAATGCGCACACAGACCAGGCAGACTTTGGTGCAGCTCATTAACTGAAGAGGCCGATGAGTGCCTGTGGAGCGGCCCGGCGGAGAAGGGGGTCTCAAGTGGATACAAAGAGCCTTGGGAAGTTTCTCTGGGGCCGGAGCCGCCGACCACCACCCCCAAGCCGCCGCGGGCCAAGTCAGCGGGAGCTCCCTCCACCTCCTGCCTCAAGGGCGGCGAGTCTCTCCCCCACCCTCACCCCCTCCCCACCCGCGGCCTTTAATTGGAGGCCTGCATTTAACTCCGCAAAGCGGCCCCCTGCGGAGGGAGAAGTGGGGGTGCCACCCCCGAGCTGCCGGGCCAGGCCCTTTGGACCCACTGCGACTCTTCACTCCTTTCCACGGTTCCTCCTCGGGACCGGCGCTGTATCCGGGCAAACAGGGCAGCCCCCCCTTGTCCCCGGAGGTTTCGCGACTCGCCGCCAAAGACTGATCTGATCAGCCACTAGCTAAACATAAGCTACACCAGCCTCTCTATGGAACAGGACGGAAATTGGATGGAGGCAAAGCCAGAGAGACCTGGAAGCCTTCCTCCCACCCTGAGGACTACCCTCGAAGCCTTCCTCCCACCCTGAGGTCTACCCAGTCTGGAGCCATGTGCTAATCAAATGTACTACATACATGTTGATTTACCATTCAGTGGTTAATTCAATACACCTACTCTAGTTGGCACCAGCAGTAGGATGTAGACTTTGGTTTCTGGCCAACAAGGGTATTTTTGTTGAGGCAGACTAACTTCCTTGCCAGACTCATCCAAACCCGAGGGAACTCTTTGTCAGTGAAGCTGGGGGATAGGTCCTAAACAAAGGTCCCCATCTCATTCATTCAGATTTACTATCCTGGAAGTAAGTATGCAGAAGTGAATCCTTAAGCATGTTTAACAACCCCATATAATTATTTTACTTATTTACTCCTTAAACGTTTTAGAAAACGCACACCTCAGAGGATCAGGTAGATACATGATTTTACTCATTTTCCGGTGAAAGCAAAAGCGGTAATTGTCAGCACATGGAAAAGGCAAGAGGCCTCACTTGCAGAAAGTGATGGCCATTCTGAAATCACTAGGCACCTCTGGTGATCTGGGCTATACTCTTTCTTGTAACCAGACACAATGCACCCCTCCACTGGAACTTCTCTCCATTGAATTATAGGCCCACACATATCCTGGCTGTTCTCAAATATTCCCCCCAAAGGAATTATCTCAAGAGTGTGGTCAAAAACGTGCCCACACCCAGTATTCTGAACTGCTGAATAGCTCAGTGGTTTAGGTATCTGGCTGTGGAACCAGAGGTTGGGAGTTTGGGTCTCCCTGCCAGGAGCTGGACTCAAAGGGTCCCTTCCAGCTTTACACTTTTAAGAAGATGAACTGAAATGCCCCCATTTTGGCAGACCTATTGTCAGTTGGAAGTTGCTTCCTACAGACGGGTTAGGATCACTCTGCTTCTCCAGAAAAAGTGATTTACTTGTACTAACTAGTCTGCTAGGGTAACTGGCCTTGGCTTTTATATATTTGCTATTGCAACTTTCTGCTTTGCACTCTTGAAGCACTTGCTAAAATGGTTTTAGAATGGAATTCTCAGAGAGCTGCTTCATAAACAAGGACAAGGTTAAAATTTAAAAGGCTCCAAAAAGCCATAGAAGTAGAGGTTGCGTATCCACTTGATGAAAGGCAAAGGCTATATATCACAGAAAATGACAATTCTCTTCACCCTGCATGATTGGCTAAGCAGGCTAGGCCAAATGGGAATTATCCACCGTTAGAGGAAACTCTACCTCATGTGTAGTGTTAGAATCGACTGTACACAGAAAGCAATGAGCATGCACATCACAAGCAGACCCAAGCGTACTCGGACCTATCCCTATTTTATAGGCATCACATTCATTCCTGCTTGTGTGTATCACCTACTAGGGTGTCTCAATTTACAGAAATTTGCATTTCTTTAATACTTCCCTGGAAATAGACTTTGATTTGACTTGATTTGTTTCTTCACTAAGTAGCCTGTTGTTACACATGTGGAAAATATATATTTGGGGATTAACTTCCACGACTCCCATAAGAGAGAACTGAGATTTAATTCTAGCACTATATCCTTAGCATAGTTAAAGTTTGCTCTACAGGAGAATGAGGCAGGATCCCGAGGGGGCAGAAAGGTTAGTATCACTCCAAGTTCCAGAAAGTGATGTTTCTCCTTAAACGGTTGCTTACAAATGAAAACACACCCAAGAAAAAGTTTTTGCCCCAACTTGTTCATGTTTGCTCTCCCCCATATCTGAAGTGCTACAGGTCTATTCTGTCACTTTGCATTATATGGCAGTGGTTCCCAACCCAGGTGTTCTTGGACTGCAATTCCCAGAAGCCTCTAGTGGCCAGAGATTCTGGGAGCTGCAATCCAAGAACACCTGGGTTACTAAAGATTGGGAACCACTGGTATAGGGTATTAGGACTTTAGTTCTATTCGCCAGTATTGTACATGTCTACTCAAAAGTAAGACCCTTTAATGTATTTTCTTTATCCTCAGAAAAGTGAGTAAAGATTGTCACCTCAGTTGCTCAACCAACTGTAACTAGATGACTAGTAGATAGATGCTTGAAGACATGAACACATTGCATGTATTGACATCAAATGAATATGAAAGCTTCTTTTTTTGGGGGGGGGGTAGCAGTGAACCTACAATGGTTTATTCACACATTCAGGTAGTCTCTTGACCTGCTAAGGGATTGAACATACTTGTATGAGCAGCAATGTGTTCCCTAGTATTTGTTTTCCTGCCTTTCCCTTTAGTACAGTGGTGCCTCAATTTATGAACTTAATTCGTAATGGAATGCTGTTCATAAGTCAAAATATTTGTAAGTCTAATCAGCATTTCCCATAAGAAAACCAATTAATTAGTTCCGGCTGTTTTTTGTTCTTATGTAGAGGCACTGTTTGTAAGTCAAAGCATTCGTTCCCATAGGAACGAATGCAAAAGTGGTTAATCGATCCACTACCACTAGGGGAAGAATTTTTTTTAACCTAAGATGACTTAAGTTTAAAAAAAGGGCAGGAAAGGAGGGAGGGAGGGAACGAACACCTTTTAAACAAAACACCTTTAAAACCAAGCAGCTTTAAAGCAAACCAAGCACCTTTTAAACCAATTGTTACATTTTAAAATTACAGTACCAGGCAGCCCAAAGTCCATTTCCCGCTTTTTCTGTGGTTTTCTATTTGTTTGTAAGTCAAATCTCCGTTCGCAAGTCAAAGCAAAATATTGTGAATGGAGCTGTTCGTAAGTCGAATTGTTTGTATGTAGGGCTGTTCGTAAGTTGAGGTACCACTGTACTTTAAACTAAACTATTTTGCCTTGGTTGAAAGGAGGTACATAAATGTAATGAACAAATGAATTCCTGGGGGAAACCCCAGATGCTTTGCTATAAAATGACTAATTAAACTTTTACTGTAGTTTTCTGAAACTAAACATTTAGGGCCTAATTCACTTGTCCGCATTTGCACAGTGCTTCTCTAGACCAAAGCATAAGGTGTATATTTTTCAATAATGGTCAAAGTGAGATTATTCATGCTGCTGGCCTATTTTCCTGTCAGCAGGCCTCATAAGAATGAAAAGCTGTGTCAGTCCCCCTAGTGTGGACATGGGCCAATCAGATCCCAGAAAGTAAAGTTAAAAAAGTACTGATGCCCAGCCACTAAATTGAACAATCAGGAGTTAAGTGATTTAGGAAAACACTCTCCCCACTTCAGACCAGTATTTGCTATCTATAGACCAAAGCACACATGTTTTGTGGATGAAATCAATCCGTTTATACTTTTTTGATTAATCTATATGATATTTAAACAATATAAATGCATCAAGCAATGAGTTAAGAATTTCTATGTCTTGTTTAATGTTATAAACTAACAAACTACAGAAGAATGACAACACAGATTTTGTAGAAGCTGAAACTTTTACTCAGAAAGTTCAGAAACCATATATTAAAAAGGACAAACACATCAACGAATCACTCACTACAAGGAATACTGAGTCTTTAAAATGTCATGCTTGTAAATGACTTAAGCTCACTTCTACAATCCTTGTGCATCTTTTAAATGCTGTTTTTCTCAAGTAAACCTTTTTTTAAGCTGCAAAGAAATATTCCAGTGTGAAACTGAAAGGCATTAGCCATGTAATGCAAATACAACAGTAAAGACAAAACAGTACCCTTGCTTCATAGATGTTTTACACAAGGATTGAATTCACTTGTATTTTGCAGCACAGTTACAAAGCAACAAATGGATCATATCAAATGTTATCAATAAAAATGTACACTGTTTAAAAAGAAATCATATCATCTGAAAACTACTCCGATGATAAATGTAATATTAAAAACAGGATTATTTTAAATGGTGGAAAAGGCCAAAAGGCTAATTCCAGTTGTATCTTCCAGAAGATGGGGGCAATGGATAAGGTCTTCCATAACCCTGCAAAAACAAGACAACTTTGTTTTATGTTGTTATCTCAGAAAACATCTTTCATCTGCACAAACATGAAATCATAATAGTACATCTGATCCAGCCAAATATAGACAATTTTATTTGATCTTAATAAGAGAATTAAGGATGTGTTTAATGCTCTGATTCAATGGTTCCCAACCTTGGGTAACCCATGTGTTCTTGCACTGCAAACCCCAGAAATTCTGTTTATCTAGCATAGTTGGTGTTGAAGGTTTCTGGCAACTGCAGTCCAAGAACACCTGGGTTACCCAAGGTTGGCAACCACTGCTCACTGGGATTTGGAAGATCCGGGTTCTAGGCCCAACTGAGCCAAGAGACCTCCAGAATGATCTTGAGTAGTTACTCTCAGCCTGAAAGACCTCACAGGACTGCTGTAGGGATAAAATGAAGAAGAGGAGAGCCATGTATGCTGTCTTGAGCTCACTGGAAGAAAATCTGGATATAAATATAAATAATAATCGGCAATTCTTATTTTCTTTTAATAAGATTGAAGATTAAGAGCTTAACAGTAAAAACCTTGGCAGATATGCCTATGTGTATGCTTAAGCATAATACTCCTCTCATAACCATCTCAAGCCTTGGGATGTGTTTCTGATCAGATGAATGAAACTGCTGTTTCTAATTCTTTCTCATTTGTGCAGCTGTGTTCTTTCAGCTACAGAAAGCAAAGTGTGCTGCTTATATACTGCACCATAGTGCTTAAAGCACTCTCGGGGGAATTTTACAATTTAATTATGCAGGCTACACATTGCCCACCCACTCTGCAAGCTGGGTACCCAATTTACAGACCTCAGAAGGATGGAAGGCTGAGTCAACCTCAAGCTGACTACCTGGGATTTAACTCTGGTCAGGAGCAGAGTCTTGGCTCCAGTACTGCGTGTAACCACTGCACCGCAAAAGCCAAGAAATAATGTAACAGTTGTTCTCATGAACAGAAGCCATGCTGAATCACACCAGAAGCTTCTTTGATCTGTCACATTGTTGTTAAAATGGCCAGCTGGAAATGTATGGGAAGCTCACAAACAGGACCTGAGTGTAGTAGGGTTCTCCTAATGGTGTTTCCAAGCAAACTGTGTTCAAAGGCTTAGCTGCCTCTGATATTGCAAGTAATATATAACCATCTAAACTAGTAGCCATTGAAAGCTTTACCCCAATGAATTTATCTAATCCTCTTTTAAAATAGCCTAAGTGGTGATGACCACCACCTCAGTGAGTTTAATAGTTTAACTGTGAGCTATGAAGGGACTTCGGCGTACTCTACACATAGACAACCCTGGAAAGGAATGTCTTAAGTTGAAGCTGACTTGATGGCATGTAATTAGGTTGTTGATAATGGTGATATTTTTATCTGTTTAGAATCCCTCCACAATTCAGCTTCAGTAGAACTCCAAGTTCTATTATGATGAGAAAAATGTTTTTATATCCACCTTTTTCATGCTATGTGTAATTTCATTCACCTCTATCATGTGCTCCCTTACTTGCTCTCTGTTTTTCTAAATTTTAAAAAAATGACAAATGTTATAACCCCTTCCTGTGTCATTTTGGTTGCCCTTTGCTGTCAGGCTCACTGTAGGAAAAATCCCCTCAAGTTTTTCTGAATTAAAAAAAATACCTGTAAAAAGTCTGAATGTTCAATAAAGGATCATAAGCTGGAGGACTTGAGAGTCCCACCTGGTCTCCTGAGTATCTGAACAACTGCCATCTCAAAGGCAAGTGAGTTCTATCTGTGGTAAAAAGCCATGTTTTTGGAAGATGAGAGCTGACTGCTGGGCTGATGCCATGTGACAGCCTGAAGAACTGTAGCTGGGTGAAGTGACAAATCTTGGCTATTTTTTTAACCATCTGCTTGACACAGCGTATCAATTGCTGCCACTGTATGAGGCAGGTACACTTGACAGGGACAAAACACATTCAGAATATTTTTATACTGATGCCCAAGCCTGAATTCAACAGCTCTGGGATCTTATTTGGGTCAAAGTATATCACTTAATAAATCAGCACCCATCTAGAAAACATGTTTTACCTTCTGAAATGCCTTACGCTTTCCATCCCTCACCCCTACCATGTATTCAGCAACTGCTAATGACAATCAACAATACATCTTCAACTACTCCAGTTACTAAAGCAGGCAACACCATGTGCTTTGCATTTTCAACTGTGGAACACATCCAGATATTCAAATCTTCACGCTTTTAATTATTAGCAGCCTTGATTCATAGAGACAACAGTGCCTAAACAGAAACTGGACCCAAGTGAGGCTTGCTTCAATGTTTGGACAGCAGTGGTAAGAGGACTCCACCAAATGCTCAGGACACCTTGTCAACAGCTTGTTGCAATTTCAACAGAGCTTTCAGTATCAGATTGTTTAAGGCAGGAATTGCTGAAACACTTACACTCTCATGCAATCATCCCAGCAATGCCCAAGTGCAGGGCCTGAGACAGCAATAGCTTACAGAATTTTGGTGCTAGTAATGTAATAGCAATGGGTCAAGAAAGCAAGAAAAAGCAAGACCAGGAATGCATTTTTGTATTTCACATGATGTGCAATTCTATATAAAACAGTGATTACTAGAGGAAGATGAGGCTGCATCTAAGGCTATAAGTCAGAATTTATCACCCTAGAAGTGACTATACAGATTGATACTGGGAATAATTCTCTCTCTCACACACACACACACGCAGAGCAACTGGAGAGTAAAACCTTTTCATATTGGTACCAGACTGAGGCCATCTGCCACTTTAGTACTGTCAAGTTCAATTCAAAGAATAACTGAAGACATGACTTTGGTCCAAAATTAGCAGCAACAATAATTCAGAAGGTGAAATTTACTATTCCTACTTTGAATTTATTTTTTTCCTGTTTTTTTCATCCACAGTTTTCAGAGGACCATATTAAAAAATGACAATTACTCATTATTTTGTTACCTGTCTTCCGCGTTCCCTCCGATCGCTGTGTCTTTGTGGGTAACTCATTGTGCTTCCAGGGCCTTGATATTGATTTTGCTGATACGATGGTCCTTGGGAATGGGGCATGCGGTTCCAGGCAAGAAGAGGAGTAGCCCCAGAATTTCTGAGAAAAGAGGATGTATTATCATTGTTTCTCATCTTTCACATGAAACGACAAGTAGCTTTATCCGAGGGGCATGTCATATTTTAGTTCTGTCTGGCATATAGCTTATTTACAAACACATTGAGTCTAGGTTCACAGTTATAACAGGATAAATTCCCTAATGATGAAACTTAAACAAAAAACACTAACAATAAAACCTTCTGTGCTGCCCTTTCAACCCATATGTTAATTGGCAATAAACATAAAGATTTAACAGTCTTCATCAAATTTGGGTTTTAAAAATGACCTGAAAGGAGCTGGCCCTTTTGGCATTGCTGACTTCCCAACCTGTCTCTCTGCAATGACTTGAAGATAAATCACACCAGCAAAACCTAGCATTATCTGAAGAGTAAACAAGTAAAGGGTGAGGCTTTATTTTCTGGACATACACACTAAATCTCAGAATCCATTCTTTCCAGTTAATTACAGGTTGCAAGTGAATTCTTACTGCAGAGTAGTTTGAATCCAGGGTAGGAGGCTTTGGCTGTTATCTCTCTCCCCCAACCTCCATTATTCTACTCAATATGTCAGAAGAAGGTCTGATCAGGAAAAAAAAACCTTTTCAAGTCCTATTGATGCTGTTTTCAATTGACCACAGTGACCTAGCAACATAAGCACTAATTGGCATGGGCCGACCAACATTTGCTGTACAGTTTATATGGGAACACAAATGAATGCCATACTTATTATACTTATTATAATGAATGCCACACTTATCAATGAGAATTCTTTAACTGCCTTGAAGGGGCTAAGTTCAAGAGTAACACTATAAAGCAACAGGTATGTAAATACATACTCCATCAGAATAAAAATGTATACTCCAGAAATGTAACATTAAGAAGAAGCTCTAAAACCAAGACCTGCGTAAAAAAGGATTTTGTCAGCCTTCCAAAAGTAAAAGTAAAAATAAAAATGCTATCTTAAAAATTAAAGCAGCTGTGGTATTATTAGCAGGACTAAATACTGGACAAGAAATAAAAAAATGTGTGTCTAGCTATATCTCTCACACCAGAGGAAAGTACTGCAAATATGAACCTCCAGTATTCTTTAGGCAAGAGGCATTAAGTAAGCAGCCAGTATTTGAATCTTTAAGAAACAAATGGTTATAGCAGAGTTTAGAAAGTGACTTTTAACAAGTAATCTGAGTTACTGTGTTCCAATTAATGGGCAAAATATACAGATATAAAGATAGCTTATATCTCTGCATAAGGATATGTGGTGCAAATATTTACTAGTGTCATCACCTGGCACCAGTAATATTTAAACTGATTAAAAATGCCCTGGCCCTGCTCCCTTTCGGGTTCCGAGGTTCCTTTAGGCATCCTTCTTCCTTGGGGAAACCTTTTGGCAGCTTTCAATAATCAAAAATTGCCACTGGATCACTGCCACCAAGATCGGGATCACAGGTAGTGATCTGCTGGCAATTTTTGACTATTAAAAGTGCCTGCTCCCATCCCAATGCTCCTAAAGGGCTCCCCGAGGCAAAAGGAAGCCCAGGGAGCCTCAGAGCCTAGCTGAGGAGACAGGAAGCTTTTAGCGTAAATTAAACATTACTGGCACCAGCTGATGACATCATCCAGTCTGCACTGCATGACTTCATTCAGAAGAATTTTGTCTCATGAATTATAGTTACAATGCTGGAAAAAAAACATCCAATCTTTACTTCTCCTTTCTCAATGGCTTGGGATCAAACTGTCTCAAAGACTGAGTCTCCTTGATGAGCCTGCTTGAGTGTAAAGATTATCAAGAAAGGCCTTTTGGTCCTATCATCTTCACAGATGCATTTGGTGGGGACATGGGAGAGGGCTTTCTCTGTTGCTGCTACCATTCTTTGGAACTCCCTCCCACAGGATGTCAGGATGGCCCCATGTTTGCTGTCCTTCAGCAAGAAGGCAAACACCTTTCTCTTCAGTGACCGGCTGCCTGAGTGGGTTTTTTAAATAGATTGTTGTGCCTTACTGCTTTGGATGTGTTTTTGGTATTGTTTTTGCTTAATATTTCTTAAAATGGTATTTGTTTCATCCTTTTAAACATTTGCATACTTCCTGCTTTAGCTTCAAATATTGCTTTGTAATAATGTAAACCACCTTGGGTTCTTTTTAAAGAGAAATGTGGGGTAAATATTAAAAATAAATAAATAAAATATCTAAAATTGGTTTTAGTTACTCTTTTTGAAATAAAGTCTGAATGATGCAAGCCACTGGCCTCTTGTACAAAATATACTCTCTTCGTGTCCACCTTGTCACTGCCTGAATGCCTAGAACATGGCTGCATGAAGCACTTGAAGCACACGATGATATTCTTTCTCTGCTATTCAGAGAGGCCACAAGAATTCTGCCTTTTCTCCCTCTCAAACCTTTAATCTAAAGTGGCAACTGACGTCTTCTGAAACTCCTGTGGATCAAGACTGCTAAAGTAGGAATTCATTGGCCAAAATCCTGTAGGGTATCATTGTAAATTGCATTAAAGTAGGCCCAATGAATCAGTAGGGATTTGATGAGTTAACTCCAAAATTCCATTGATTCAAACAGGACTATTACTGCCACTTACTTTAGTATAGTAACTTACAATTAGAGTTGGCCCATTTGAATCAATAGACTCATCAAGTCCCCATGATTCAAAGACCCTACTCTAGTGCAAATTACTACACTAAGCAACAGGATTTTAGCCAATATGTAACCATTGGCCATGGACTTCAGTAAGAAGGCAGAGCTTTCATCCTTACTTGCTGATCAGTGGTGACAGGTGAGTACTGTTTCTCACAACTACTATGTAAGTTTTTGACCAAACTCCGGTAGGAAGTGGAAGACAGGAGAGCCTGACGTGCTCTGGTTCATGGGGTCACGAAGAGTTGGACACAACTTAATGACTAAACAAAAACAACAACTATGTAAGTTGCTGGTGGTGAGGATTGCTGATTGTGTGCTATAAAATAGCCTGTCCTCAGTGGTGAACCTGCTAACATTGACGGTTTTCTGGTTCATAAGAGACCAGAAAATGTCTGCAACATTTTTGGATGAATTTAATAAATGCCCTACTTGATTGGGACAAAGACTCAAATCCAAAATTCCAACACCAACCAGTCAGGTATCTTTGGGTGTTGGAAAGCAAATCATGGACACAAGAGGGTTTGACCACAGCTTCTAATACTCACAGATGCACAATTAAGACCTTAAAATATCACCTTTCAAAAGCATCTTCATAAGTGAGCACATATGAATCTGAACAATAACAACTATAATTTACTAGAGAATTACTGCATTGTGTTTCTACCCCATCTACCTCCTTCATCAAGGAATTCAAAGTAGCCTACACAGAATTTCTAATCAGTCTTGCATCTAGGCATCAATTAACCATAAACAAACGTAGCTTCAGCAAGGTGGCTACATGATGTCCTTTCAGGCTATCTCTGGTCTACATATTCCATTTAATACACCAGTGGAATGTTGTCAATATTGAAAGTACTCCAAAATGACAATACACAGATTAGTTGCAAAATTTATCATTAGATACAATGATGTTTTAATTTGGGAGCTACTCTGTTCTCCAGATTACAGAAGGCTAGAAGGATATTTTACTATACAACCTGACCTTATCAAATCAGGGTCTTTAATGAAATTGAGAATTTGAAATCTCTCCCACACACAACATTTGAGAATTACTTACTTTTCCTCAACAACTGGAATAGTGGGCTTACCGTTCAAACCATCTTTTCTACAACCTGGTAATCCTTTCACACCCTGAAAAAAAACTGCTTGAGGAAGCATATCTTGTTCAGTATCTACCAGCTTGAATATTATTGCTGCTTATGCTATGACCAGGTAGATCTTGAACGAGGTGTCTCCCTCTGGGTCTTAGCGGGAGGGTTTTCAAAATAAACTACATCTAGTTGCCCAGAAAAAAACAAGAAGGTGCTCCTTGAACTGCTATGATGACAAGTATATCTTAATGTACTTGGCAGACAAAATACCAATAAAAGGAATGCATGTCAACTGCCTGATGGAGATCAGCCAGACAAGTGCCACTGAGGAAGTGGTTAGCCTTCTTTTGAAAAACACTGCTGGAATCTTGCATATGCTGTCCCCCCTGCCCTTTTTTAAAAAAATGACCTGCTTTCCCTTTTGGCTTAGGATAAGGACATCAGCTAAGCCATCTACTTGTTTTTGTTTTAATTAAATTAAGAAAGGCTCACAAAGGTTTAATCTTGTCATAGCGAGCTCACAATGGAACTATGTAAGCCCCTCTAGTATATTATGACTGGATTTCAATATGATTTCAACCAGAGTGGATGAAACTCAATTATTTTTAAAATCATATTGATTTAAATCGTGATTTAAATTTTTTAAAATTGTTTTTTGTATTTAAATCGTCAAAAAAAATCCACGTTTTAAAATTTAAATCAAATCCACCGTGATATAAACGTCAGGAGACCATATTAAATGAGTATTCTTGATTATGCCTCCAACAAGTTTGCATATAAAAGATAAAATCGATTTTTAAAATTCTGGGTTTAATATAATTCACTATATCTAATAAACAAGAAATTCTTATGACAAAGAGATAATAACAAAACTATGGTAGTATTATTAAAGAATTTTGCCAAAAGATCTTCGTAAACAAAAATGTGCAGCACTTTGTGCCAAAGTACAGACCAGATTTCACATCTATATTTATTATTTATTTATTATTTTATTAGATTTCTACCCCGCCCATCTAGACCAAAGGTCTACTATATTTATAAATATAGATATAATCTTGGAAACATGTCCTCGTACCAAAAGAAAGTACAAAAGGACATCGTACAGGATGGTAAGGATCAGAATCAGTCACTCAAGGATCAGAACTGGTTACTTGGGAAACAGAGTTCAATTTTTGTTATCAACTGTTCTCTTATAGGATAGAACAATACACAAAGAAAACATATGCTCAATTTAACGACCATTTTACATTTTGCACTACAGATATAATAGAAATTATTCACACATGCACTTTGCAAATTCCAGGATATTGAGTTTTAAGGGCATACAATCAGCTTTTCAATGAAGAAACACGTATATAAAACATCCCTTATTATCAAACCATGTCACATTCTCTCTGTTCCATGGTACTTATTGGACTGCAGATTCCTTAATCCTCCCCAGAGTCCCTCCTGCATTTAATTCAGTTCAGTCTTAAGTAGTTAAAGAAACTGTTTTCAGTGGCAACTAATAACTACTGACCTACAGTGACACTGCTCTACAATAGACTTGTCAGGCCTCAAAAAGCTATACCAAAGAAGCTGATTAGGACTTCAAGAGGTTTGTAGCAAGAATCAATGGCTGGTCTGTACTAATGCCATGGTTCCAGCACAGTGACGATAAAAGTGGACCACCATTAGTTATGCCTCATTAAGCCCCACGACGCTCCTAAAAAGAAATTTGTTTAGCCTGTCCAAAACCTAATGCAGTTTTAAGATGCCTGTGTTGAAATTCATAGTGCCTCAAAAACTACAATGAGATAAAGAACCAAGGAATACTATAGCAAAAGCATCAGCAACATAGTTAATTTTGAAGCTTCTGATTATTATCAGAAAATCCCCTCTCATCAAAATAACACATTTCTTTAGAAAGATAAATGGTTGCAGCTTTGTAGCAAATGAAATAAATAACAGATAGATATATAAAACAGGCTATACAAAATTAAACTGAGACTCTAATTGATTCATATTGAATCAAATTAAGGAAAAATCCCTTGTAAAATATATACCTGGGATTTTTTAAATGTAAGTCTAAACTATACCTGTCAAATCTTTGTGATGATTGTTGAAACAGGGGTGTGGGCCCTTGCCAGGAGTCCTGGGGCCGAATATCTGTGAAGTAAAAGGCAAAACAATAATATAATAAATTAAGAACATAATGTTACAAAAATATAATGTTACAGCTAAATACAAATACGTGCCTATTTTAATAAGAATAATAATGATATAAGAAGTTGTTCTACAATTTTTAGTTTCTGTAATTACAATCACTTTCTCACAAAATGAGTACTTAGAAAATATCTGTATAGTAGTACAAAGCAGGCTTGCTTTTCAGGATGTGTACAAGGGGCTTTTAGCCTTTTGTTTCTGTCCATGGAGTTTTCCTGGCAAAGATATTGGAGTGACTTGCCGGTTCCTGCTCCAGGTGGATCGCATTTAGTCAGAACTCTCCACTATGAACTGTACGTCTTGGGTGTCCCTGCACGGCACAGCCCATAGTTTCTCTGAATTACTCAAGCCCCTTTGCCATGACAAGGCAGCAATCCGTGAAGGGGTACTGTACAATTGCACTCATTTCACACGCTAGTAAGGTTATGCTCAAAATCCTACAAGGTAGGCTTCAGTAGTATGTGGACCGAGAACTCCCAGAAGTACAAGCTGGATTTCGAAGAGGCAGAGGAACTAGAGACCAAATTACTAACATGGGCTGGATTATGGAAAAAGCCAGAGAGTTTGAGAAAAACATCTACTTCTGCTTCATTGACTACGCAAAAGCCTTTGACTGTGTGGACCACAGCAAACTATGGCAAGTCCTTAAAGAAATGGGAGTGCCTGACCACCTTATGTACCTCCTGAGAAATCTATATGTGGGACAGGAAGCAACAGTTAGAACTGGATATGGAAATACTGATTGGTTCAAAATTGGGAAAGGAGTACGACAAGGCTGTATATTGTCCCCCGGCTTAACTTATATGCAGAATACAGTGGTGCCTTGCTTAACGAGCGCCCCGTTTAACGACGAATTCGCATAGCAATTTGTTTTTTGTGATTGCATTGCGATCTTTTTAATGGCAAAAAATCGCTTTGTGATGATCAGTAAGCTGTTTCGCTTACTGATTTTTGCATAGTGATGTTTTAAAAACAGCTGATCGGCTGTTCCAAAATGGCTGCCCGCTGTGTTTTCGCGCCCATTCCTCGCTTACCGGGAAGCGAAAATGGCGGCCGTATGGAGGATTTTTGCTTAAAGCTGAGTTTTTGCCCATAGGAACGCATTAAATGGGTTTTAATTCATTCCTATGGTCTTTTTTATTTCGCATACCGACGAATCTGGATAGTGACAATTTTTCCGGAACGGATTATCATCGCTATGCGGGGCGCCACTGTACATCATGCAAAAGACTGGAGTGGAGGAATCCCAAAACGGAATTAAGATTGCCGGAAGAAATATCAACAACCTTCAATATGCAGATGATACCACTCTGATGGCAGAAAGTGAGGAGGAATAAAAGTACCTCTTAATGAGAGTGAAAGAGAAAAACGCAAAAATGGTCTGAAGCTCAACATGAAAAAAACTAAGATCATGGCCACTGGTCCCATCACCTCCTGGGAAACAGAAGGGGAAGATATGGAGGCAGTGACAGATTTTACTTTCTTGGGCTCCATGATCACTGCAGATGGTGACAGCAGCAATGAAATTAAAAGACGTCTGCTTCTTGGGAGGAAAGAGATGACAAGCCTAGACAGAATCTTAAAAAGCAGAGACATCACCTTGCCGACAAAAGTCCGAATAGTCAAAGCTATGGTTTTTCCTGTCGTGATGTATGGAAGTGAGAGCCAGACCATAAAGAAGGCTGACCACCGAAGAATTGATGCTGGACTGCAGGAGAACAAACCTATACATTCTGAAGGAAATGAGCCCTGAGTACTCACTGAAGGAAATCAACCCTAAGTGCTCACTGGAAGGACAGATCCTTCCTTTGAGATGGCCAATACTTTGGCCATCTCATGAGAAGACAGGACTCCCTGCAAAAGACCCGGATGTTGAGAAAGTGTGAAGACAAGAGGAGAAGGGGATGACAGAAGATGAGATGGATGGACAATGTCACCGAAGCTACCAACATGAATTTGACCAAACTCCGGGAGGAAGTGGAAGAGCCTGGCGTGCTCTGGTCCACGGGGTCACGAAGAGTCGGACATGACTTAACGACTCAAGAACAACAAGGGGCTAGCTTTTCAAATTTCAGTAGAGATTTTGAAAATAAAGTAGTAAAAATTAACCTCTTTATTGATATAACTATGTTTTGATCAATCACATGCCGTTTATCTACAGTGTTATGTGCTATCACATCAGAACCAACTTATAGCACCCCTAATAGGACTTTCAAGATAAGTAACATACCTAAGGAGTAGTATTACCAAATACAACCCCATTCCCCAGTGTGTTTCCATGGCACAGCAAGCATTTCAACCAAAATAAGTCCTATGTCCCTCTATCCACTACCACTCTGGGTGCCCTAACTGCAGTAACATTATTAAACAAAGCAAATGTTACAATGTATTAGAGACTTAAATGGTTTTCTTTTTTTTATTGGGTTTACTGCCCCCTCCCCCCTTTTTTATTCATGTGTGTGGCAGATGATGTGGGGCTGCAGGGAATTTTAACTTGATAATTGCAACTGCCTTGATCTTCCAAATGTCATTTTAAGGTCATAGTTTTACTGATACTCCAGTGGCCTTTGAAGATGAATCTTGGAGAATGGGGAAATGGAGCTGGTTAGAGAATGACAATTTTCGCTAGTTATAGGCAGATGAAGATATGATAGAAGAACCCAAATGGAACAGGACGGTAGGATGCCAGTTGTTCATCCCTCATTTGGGATTCCAGCCAAACCAATGACGTTATGATGGTTTAAGTGGTATACTGTCCATCCTAAAAATCTGTCTTTTAATGGCAGGTCTACTTCTGGGAATATGTTGCTCAGACAGGATTTGATTCTCGATAAACATGCTCACCTATCTTTTATCACAGAGGTCTGTACAAGAGGGGGCAACCTGTCTTGCTCAGCTCTATCTGCTAGTTTATTCAGTAATACAGCAAGCTACAGCTGGGAGGCGGACCAATGAACAGAAATCCAGTTCCATTGACCAGATGCTTCATCTAGCAGACTGCCAATTTTGAGTGACATATGGCTAAGGGAAATAATCAATGTCTTTTTGCAGAAAGGGGATGCTACAGTTAAGGATGGAGTAATGCATACTTTTTTGCTAAAGAATGAACCAACAGATTTAGAAAAATACAGGCAATTCTCAGATGTACCATTCTTGGCTGTAACAATTCAGAGGACCTCACAACTCAAAACAAATGTGGAAGATAGTGATTTTCTAAACCTATTCCAATTCAGTTTTTGGCTAGAACAAGCAATTGAGACATATTTGATGACTTCTGTGGATGACCAATAGTGGAAGTTTGAGGGGGAAGACGTGTGGGTTTCACAGTGCCTTTCAATATCATCTACTATGTTCTCCCCCTAGACTACCTATTGGGTCTGGATTTCAAGGCACCAACTGCAGTGGATCTGGTCCTTCTTTGAATGTGTCCAGAAGATGGTGCTGGAGAACTACTGGTCATCAGTAAAGCCATCGGACCTGCAAGGATGACCGATTTGGCAGGTTTAGGAACCAATTCCCTACCTCCCTAGGACCTGACATGGACTGCACTGGGTCAAAAAGTGAAACTGGAAGTGAGTTAAGTTACTTTTACAAACACACATCTTTGTGTGTGTCCATTATTTCACAGGAAAATCTTGATTTCTCAAATGTGCTGTTTCTTGTTTTAGTTTACCAAAAATAAAAAAGCATTATTTTTTTAATCTGGCAAAATGTGTGCCCTCCCATCAGTAAAAATAACATACTTAGTCAAGTAAAATGTCCTGGCACAGAGATCTTTATTAAAAGTAAAATATTTATTTGCAAATACAGTGGCGCCTCAACTTACAACCATAATCTTTTCCAGAAGATGGATGTAACTCAAAATGTTTATAAGTTGAAGCACCATTTCCCATAGCACTGAAAGCAATTAAGCACTGAAAGCAATTAAGCCATTCTGAGATGGATGTAACTCAAAATGTTTATAAGTTGAAGCACCATTTCCCATAGGAAAGCATTGAAAGCAATTAAGCCATTTTGGCCGAAGGAAAAAAAATCCCCCCCCCCCAAAAAAATCACTGCAAGACTCACTGGAAACATGATTCATCCCTTCCGGCCGAAGTGGAGGGGAAGAAGCAATCAAGTGTGCAAGACCCACTGGAAATGCACAGAAAACAAATGGAGCAGATCGGAAATGCAAAGAAAACAAAGGAAAAAGCAAGGGAAGCATGCAGGACCCATCGGAAATGGCGAAAAGAACTCCAAAAAGCAAAAGCAACCAACCCTCCAAGACCCATTGAAAATGGGGGGAAGCCAAAAAACACCAACCCCCCAAGACCCATCAGAAATGGGGGACACCTCCCAAAAGCAACCAAGACCCCCAAGACCCATTTGAGATGGGGGAAGCCAAAAAACAACCAACCCCCAAGACCCATCACAGCACAGAAACATAACCCCCAGCTCAAAACCATGCTGCAAAAATACCCAGTACAGTTTTTAAAAAGTAGAAAACAGCACCTTATCTTACAAGGCAGCCCGAAGCCTCCCTGCAAACACACACACATGCTCACTCAGAAGCAGGTAATCCCAAGCCTCCTCCAACGCACACACTCTAACTGGTGGGGCAAAAGAGCTACAAAGAAGCAGCCTTGTCACCACCTACAGTTAGCAATTTGAATTTCCTGCCATTTTTCCCTGCCTTTTTCTGTTCGTAAGTGGAAGTTCCCATCGCAAGTAGAAGCAAAATTTTGTGGCTGGAGCTGGTTGTAACTTGAAATGGACGTAAGTAGGGACATTTGTAAGTCGAGGCACCACTGTAGAGGCACAGAGCAACAGGAGTCCACCAGGTCTCCTATCACAAAGGCCCCTGATGCATACAGTATTATGCCTTCATAGAGGCTTATTTATGCCTTCAGTAGTTCCAAAAAAATTTCGCTGGTCTTTGAAAAGGCCAGCATTAAATATCT